ATAATAATGACTGGTATATATAATGACCATTTCCCGCCCCTTATAAATAATCTTGGGCAATTTTATAAAATAGGTGAACGGATGTGGTTTTGTTTATTAATCTGTTAAATAAAACTTAAGTTTCATGGCTGATATTTTTTATGTAAAGTTAAAAAAGGTATTTAAAATAATAATCGGAAGTCGAGAACTAATCATACCGCCCAGTCGAAGTAATAAATTCAAGTTAACTTAAACAAAGACGTCAGGCATTGTGAATAATGGCCGGACAAAGCGATAAAATAATCACACTACCCATCGCTCTTCGGTATTATTCATAATGGCTAGTCCTTATTAATAATGCCCAGTTAATCAGGTCGCCCGTAACATACATACAAAAGTGCCTTCAAGCTGTGCGTGGGTTTCCGCCGCGCCTCGTCGCCGCCAAAGTGACGCACCGATGTCGACCCTTTAGAGTTTAGCGCGATGTCTTCTTCGATAAGATTTCTGTAGAGCAAATATCAGGCACTAGTTAAGTAGTTGAGGAACACGGACACGGGTTGTTTCAAATATAACAATTTAACTATTATAGTTTTACGAAACTTTTACTTAGCAATTTAACAAAGTTATTTGCAAATTAAACTTACTAGGAATCACACAACTTAAGAAAATAAATCTTATATATTCAATTAACAATTAATAAAATTAAGGTTTAAGCTAAATAATAAACTTGCTAAGATAACTGAAGATCATTCCTATACGAATTATTCCATGAAAGTATCTTCAGATAGATCCGTAGCATAACAAAGCAAGGTGTCGCAATCATGTGTAATAGTGAAGCGTAGGTTCTATAGAATGTTTGTAATTTGTATGGCCCCGACCCCATCCCATCAGTTGGACTATACTTCAAAATACCAGTAGAGTGTACACCATCGTGAGTCGCGCGCGCTGTTAGTTCTGCGCTACGAAAATTGTCGTCGGCATTATGACGCCATCACTAATTCAGCCCGTAGTTTTCCGTAAAATTTCACGCCAACGGTACGCACAAGATTGATGGGCATTTTATGAAAACTCAAGAAGAGTTGTTATTATTTTTCGATTCATTACATGTAATCGATTTTCACGGGCGTATTGCTTAAGTGTTTGTTCAGCTCTGTCGTCTAATTGAACTGGCCACGATTCGGTTTGTGTTCAATTCAAATAGTTTATAAAATGCTTTTTATCACAAATCACGCTCATAATTTAAATTAATAGCTGTGCCTTTTAGCTGCAAATTCAAAATAACGGTTTAATTTATTACAATCTTGCTATTTTGATAGACGGACAGACGATATAAAGTTTTAATTCTACGTCCAACCGTTTCAAATTGAAATATTTATGATTTATAACAGTGAAATAAATAGCAATGAACGTTGATGCGCATGCAAACAAAAATAATGAAGAAAACGTTTCCGCATGGTATATTTCTCAAATAGGAAAAAAGAGAATTTGCAAGTGAGTTCATTATATAGTTATGTCATATCTCTAATTGGTCCGAAAATCCGAGTCCGAACATCTTTCCGTCCGGGTCACGAAGCACCGTTCATAGATGAAAGAGTCGTCAAGTTTAATCGCGTTTCAGTCTGTGGATTTCCGAATATCCTAAGCCATGATGTACACCATCTAACATCAATTAAACTCCATGTTGGTTTGTTCTCCTCTATCCTAAAAAAAACCTTCCATATCCACTTAAATATATAACAATAATAGCCCGCTTTACTGTGGACTACATTCAAAATATTTTTCGCTTCATAATGCTTTCGTTCGATACTTACTGAAAATGTAGAACAATGTTAATATGTATACATCTTCCATGGTCATTTGCATTACATTACATTACATGCAAACATAATAAATTTACTAATCTTACCACGTTTAATCTTATTTATAGATAAGCTTTATTGCTGTAAAGACTGTTAAAATTCATAATGTAATTGACACTGTTCTTTTATATTTAACACATAATACATCTACGAGAAAAATCCACGCAAGAAATATTTCTTGCGTCGATGCTACATTACAGGTAATATTAATTTAAAGCGATAATAGACACCAACCTTGTAAGAATGACATGATCTATGGAATGATATCATCTGAACCGTAACTTTCAGAACGAATTGCTCGTTAAACATACTATATTTTGCTTGTATTGAAGCTTTTGCGTCAATATGGCGTCAATCAATAAATTATTAAGTAGTTAACATGAGTTTGGTATCGTCAATGTTATAGTTTTTTCTAACCCTTTTGTTAAATAAAAGAAAAGTTAAAAGACGTTTGAAATCTTTAATATTTTAAATTTAAATTGGATTATAAAGGAAAAAAATAGCAATTAGACGATTTTTAATTTAAAAAGTTAAAAGCCAAAAAATTTTTTTTACACAATTACGTCTAAAGGATTGTAGTTTTATAAACTGTACGTATGTACCACTATTATGCTTAAACTACATATAAAATTAAATAAAAAGTAATAATTATAAATATATCTTCTCAAAACAAATAAACAGACAATCACAGAAACGGATGATAAAACAACGAGTATAACGCGAATAGGTTATAGTTTTGTAAACTTACTATTTCCTAGAATACTGGTAATCTAACTTAGATTTATACGTAAAATATTATTCGTAGTGAATTTTGCACAGTTACATATAAACTCTGGCGAGAATACGCAGTTCGCTTATTCCTTTGAAGTAATATAATTAAATTGCTACTGAAAATCCCTGTTTTGAAATTGAGTTCTAATTGGTAGTATGAGTTTTTTACAACTTTAAGCTAAACATTACAAAGACGTCTAACGCAAGAAAGGGAAATTAAAAAGAAATCCTTAGAACTCAAGCCAATAGGCAATAAATGGAGTATTAATAATTCACAATTTTTGCTAAACATTTTGTCCAATGAAACGTATAGTTAGTCAATCGACTAACTTTGATCGAACAAAATTTTGAAAGACATTTTTCTGTTATGAGATCAATAGATTAACAAAATATTTGTTCAATATCTTTACCATATAATATTAATAAATTGCTGATATTAAAATATAAATCTAACATATTGAAATAATTCAAATATATGGTTCGTGTCTAAGTTTGCAGACGAGTAGAAGGTAAAAATATTGGTGTAGTGAAAACTATAACGGTGTATTGAATTACAATCTATACTAATATATAAAGTTGAAAAGTTCGTTTGTTTCTATGTTTGAACGCGCTAATCTCAGGAACTATTGGCTAATTAATTTATTTTTGTGTAAGGTTATGGTATGTAGGTCGTGGGTTCCAAAATAATGGCTCTCGCGGACAAAGTCGCTGACACAGCTAGTAGTAGATACAGCGGGCCACCTAGCAAAATAGAAGTAATACGGCTTCCATAGCATTCTAAGTCGTTAACCTAATTAAAGTGTTAATGGACGACGCATTATGTTAGGAGCTTTTTATACAAAATTAGCGACTTGGCCGAACGTGAGGATAGATAGTCTTATTAAGTGTAATTAATGATTCACTGTTTACACGTTTGACCGTCATGGTTCAATGGCATTGCCATTAAAACGCAAAAGATGCTTCCGTTCTCTTATACAGATTGTATTTATTTTATATTAATGCAACAATATGAAACTGACAGGACTCGAGCCCGTAACGTTTCGTTTTGTTGTCCCTAATGAGGTCCAGTCCCTAAAAGTCGTCATTGACTTTTTTACAATTCATTAAAGATGTAATATCAACCATCAAACACTTACGTTTAAAAAAAATAACAGTAGGGCACGGGAGTTGAACTGCATGTCTGTAAATATAATCCAAAATAGTGCAGTCAGCTGTAGTAGATGTCAATCCCGACAAAATTATATAATGTTACCATAGATCAAATGTTCAGATTTTCTATACAAAGTCTAGCTTAAAACTCTAAGGAAATACATTGATTTTTAAAATATACTGGCGAAAATTGAACCCCTACATCGCCACCATAAGAACAAAGACCCAGTAGAAAACCGTGTTATATGATACACGTTGGTTTAACGACATTAAATAAAAGCTATTAATCGTATAGTAGGCCAGATATTCATTCGATTTAGGCATGATGACTCATGACAAATTTTTATTTTTATTACGAAGTCTTCATAGTCCAAATGATCTAGTAGTGGCTAGTAAAGTACATTTTTTAACTAGATCTTATCTAAGTATAGTCAAGCAAAACATCTGCGCGATAACAGGCACCTGTAGTGTTTTTATCGATAATCTTGTTATCACCGTGCACATAGGCGCGTATTTAAATAGGGTAAAGTTACTCACAATCATCGTTTAACTATTTACCGGCTTAATACAACACCTACCCAAGAGCTCGACTAGAAACGTAAAATTAATCTCGATTTTTTTACTGATAACTTCCATGTTAGACACGTCATACATGTCATATAAGTAAAATCATGTCTCCCGCGACTTCCATTCAGAGACAAAAGTTCGTGTTTTTTTTCCTCGCCTATTAAGTGTTCGTTAGTGTTCGAACCCAAGACCTTAAGCAATAATTACGCGTCTACCATTGAGTAATAAAAGCTATCCAACACTGTCCGCAGTTAACGCGAATCGTACACATTTAAATAAAACACTTTAACGGTTTAAACGCTAATATTAGTTAAACTTATTTGAATATTATTTTAACCCGACGTAGATGGGGAGTGTCCCAGTTTTCAAAATGAAAACTGCTACGCTAGCGCCATCTATTTCGTAGTAATTGGTATTCGGTGAACGTCGGGCCGTAGTTAAAATAATTTACAAATAAGTTTAACTAATAAATAATACCTATCGCGTATAAAACCGTTCAAGTGTTTTATTTTAAAGCTCCAAATCAAAATTAAAAATTAATAATCCATTTAAGGCAAGCATGAAGTCGATAACGTCATTCCCCCGTATGAACACTATTAAAACGAGACGTATGGATTCGTCACATTTTCCATTAAAACTCCGTCAAGATTGTAACGTGGGTATTTATTCAACAGGATGCCACCAGCGCTGCAAAACGTTGAAATGTTCAGCACTTCAAGATGTCAGACGCTTCTAGAAGATTTTAAAAGTGATGATGATGAAATGAGTGAATCGAAAGTGAACAATAATAACGTGATACATAGTGGGAAACTGTATGAAAATTGTGATGGCGACTTTGATTTAAGTGAATTTGAGGCTATGGATTTCAAAGCACGAATACGTTGGCCGGACTTAGTAGTTCAAATTTCTTTACATGTCGTTTCAATATACGGATTGTACTTGATATTATCAAACCAAGTGAAATTATATACATTACTTTTCGGTGAGCATATTCGACATAATTTAAATAATGCAGTAGAAAAAGCTAATTAAATAAAAATAATTCATCACAATTATATCCCTCTCACATGTAGAAACAACACATTAATTAAATTATTATATAAAATGTTATTTACATGATAAAAACGTATGTCATTTACCTAGGAATTATTGTGTGCCTATTTCCTTTTGTAAAATTTTCCTTCTATAAATTACAATACCTCTATATTATTGTAAAGATTTGTACAACTTCTGATTAAAATACTGTAGAAAAGGAATACTTTTCCCCCTTATATTAAACTTAAAATGAAAACAAAACTATTTGTATATAATATTTTGTGTTTTTTAATCAATAATATCAATGCGCCTATTAGTTTTTCCGTTAAATATTATGTGAAGGGAAGTGATATTTCTTGCTGGTTTGCAAATATTTTTACGCTATGTTTCTTCAGAAATCAATATAATATGAATCTGTGGCCCTAATATAATATTAATATATCATAGCGTAAGTATTTCTATATATATGTTACTAAATACATAAATAAACGTTAAAATAGAAATAGTTCTATTTTATACCATAATGAAATCGTAGCGAACTCTATTGAAAAGCACTTAATAACGGTCGTAGTTAAGTAACTTTTGCACTATACGCACTGAAATTAGATCATGTGGTATGATAATCAGCTTTATTAAATGCACCAGAGCAAAAACTGTTTATTTATCGCTAACGAGCCACGATATTTCCATTGGTAGAGCAAAGACACGAAACGCTGTAATCGTGGGTTCGAGTCCCACCCACGTGAAAATTACTTGGGTCTGTAGTTTAAGCAAGTATTTTTTTAAACACTTAACCGTTTCAACGCGAAATATATTCGTCGACTTATTTTAATTTTAATTGAACCACTTCTTGACGTTTCGGTTGCTTAGCAACAGTTTAGGTTCCTTTGAAATTAATTAGACTTAACATTACTTATCTGTTACAGTTCTCGTCACAATATACACATCTGGCTTTGGGATAACAGCGGGAGTTCACAGGCTGTGGTCACATAGATCCTACAAGGCGAAACTACCCTTAAGATGTTTACTCGCTGTTCTTTTCACTATTACTGGGCAAGTGAGTATTGGTTTATTCATTATTATTAATATGGTAAATTTATTTTAAAGACAATATGAGCGTTATTGAGACCAGCGTGACCCACCTTGGTCACGCTGGTCTCAATAACTCTCGTAATAAATATTTAAAGCATGTATTTTAAGTTTCTGAATTATTAATTTTTGACCGCCTCTGTAGCCGAATGGTTAAACGTATTGCCTAGCATTACGTTAAACGTGAGAGGTCCTGGGTTCGAAGACCAGGGAAACATAAAATTGTTTCGGTCGGGCAGAGCACAGAAGTCTGATCAACTACTTGCCCGTTAAAAGAACCTAGTTTTCAATTCATATTCTGCAATTCAGTATCGAACACAATATTTATGTCGGGAGCAAAGGAAAATACCCTTTGAAAAATCTCTCATCATATCGGTTTGTTATCGTTTCTCTAACAATAACAATTGTAAGCAATTAGGTTGCCGAATAGAATCTGTCGTTATATTACCATGAATAAAGTCAATTGAGAGAATTGACCCATCTTTATTAGAACAAATATTGTACTCTTTTATGGCTAGAATTATTGTTAAGGACAATGTGTAAAACATTTGTATTTTCAGTACGTTCATTCGATTTGTGACAAGGGCTCTTAGTTTGTTGTGGGTATATGACCCTAAGCATACTAAATTCGTTTTATCGTTAAATAATAATATAAAAAAGAACGAAACATAATCATGTTCGAATTAACTCTAAAAACTTTGTTGTTCTATCCTTGTAAGTTCTGTTAAATTTTAGACTCAAGAAAATTATTTAAATAAAACACCTTAACGTTACGGGGAGACACCAAGGCTGTTGCAAAACATCCGAAACGACTGCGCCGAAGTTAAAAATAATTTTCAAATAAGTTTAACTAATATATCGCGTTTTAAACCGTTAAAGTGTTTTATTTAAATGTGTACTACTCGCGTAAACTATAGACAGTATTTAGAAAAATATTTCCAAAATCTGAAACTCGCGATTTTTGCGAGTTAAAAATTAATTAATTTGTTTAATTAAATGTTTAATAAAACAATATATATATGAAAGATTGTATGATTTTTTTATGTGTATTATAAACATTATTGATCATTTTTTCAGAGAGACATCTACACTTGGGCACTCGATCATCGAGTGCATCACAAGTATACAGAGACAGTTGCGGATCCACATGACGTCAGGCGTGGGTTTTGGTTCGCCCACGTCGGCTGGCTGGTGCTAACACCTCACCCTGCTGTGGAAGACAGAAGGATCGCCTTACGAAAAACCTCACTAGACCTTTTGGACGACCCCGTTGTACGAATACAAAAAATGTAAGATTGCGGTATAAAATTTTATTATCAATAGTTTACGCGTATAATACGAATTTAAATAAGACATTTTTAATGGCTTAAATATATTAGTGAACTTATTTTTAATAACTACCGAAGCATCGGATGAATGCCAAAGGTGTTCTATTAAAAAATAGAAAGTATAGTTCTGAAACATGTTCGTCATCGTCTGGAACTCAGGATTTTAATTGGGTGGTAGTGGTAGCACGCACCACCGTTAAGCCGTTAATTAATCGCGTTTCGGTTTATTCGTGGATTTCCGAATATCAAAAGCTAATAGTGCATCACGCTTGGATATTATATGGCTAGATGCGAAGTACTTCACCTATCATATTTATCTGTCCTCCTCTTAAAAAAAAAGGAATAAACACTAGTAATATCTATAGAATGCATGTCAGATACCTACAATAAAATGTGACTTTTGAGCTAGTAAAGCCACTGTTAGCGTATCTCATTAATTTTATTTATAAAAAAAAAGCCTATGCCTAATTTCAAAGTGTAAGCTCCATATAGCAAATTATTCCGTATCAATTTATCCTTTCCGGTCCAAAATTTTACCATAAATGCATCCATCCTTACAACTTGTACAAAATGTAACTAACATTAGATAATCTCTTGAAGTCTTGAGTGGGGTATACATTTTAATACACAGACACACAGTACTACATTATATGTTTAATCCTACAACAATATAATCCGATTACCAGTTAATGGATCACAGAAAGGTATGAAACATTTAGATTTAATAATAATAATAAAATAAACATATAATTTATATTGAGGAAAGTAAACAAATTCTCAATATGGGATATTTACAGGAAATATCGATATCAGATATGGATTCAATTCTGGAAATGACTCGGATTATCGGTTTTTATCTAGTGAGGATGTGACTAATATTAGAGTGGCAATTTACTATTATATTCGTGATGTATCTTAAATGCATATAATGTAATATACATGAACTATTTTATAAATAATTCTCGAGAATTATATTGCGAGGTATGCGACAGATTAAAGAAGATTCCTTGGGTTTTCTTCGCATCTTTATTGTGCTTTCCTAATAAAAAAACGACAGCATTATATCTAGGCTGTCATATATTTTATTAGGTAGTTTTTTAAACAAATTATCGAATATATGTTTTACCACTTCATCGCCTTCTACATCAGTAGATGATCTTCGTAAAATTTATTTCAGATTATCGCTAGTTATATTGTACTTTGTGCAATTTTTTGCAAAGACAAGATATTCTAATACTTTTATATTATGCACTCAATATATAATATGTATATATCTCCCACGTGAAAGCTTATATGCATTAAGTATTTACATTAAAACTTTACATTTTAAAAACGCCTCGTAACAAACTCTTTTAATTCTCACATAGGAAAGAGTTATATGGTGGGTCTTTAACGACTACAGGAACTAAACTAGCTCTAACATCTGACATACTGGCGTGATTGTAAACGCCTACTTAAAAATAATTACTTCTATACACTTAGAGTTAATCTTCTATTATATCTTATATTGTCTTATCTCTTATATTATATATTACAATCTTATAATTTACATATGATCTCTTCTCCGTTTCAGATTCTTTGTTCCACTATTCTTAATTTTGAATATCCTGTTACCATTGGGAATCCCAATTTACTACTGGGACGAGGACTGGATAACGAGCTTTGCAGTCAGCTTTGTATTGAGATTTACGACCACACTAAACATCGCTTACTGTGTCAACAGCTTCGCACATTTGTGGGGCAACAAGCCTTATGACAGGTAAAATTCATATCCATACTATGATAAAACTTATAATTATCATTTTAAAGTGAAAAGGTTCTGGCCCAAATAACTCACCAATCCGTTTGGACGTTCGTAAACCATTTGCAAAGAACACATATCCTTAATAAATAGTAATATTCATGTTTGCGTTTAAAGGAAAATAAGAAATGAAACGGAAGAAAAAAAATGAATTTCGTAATTTGAATATTTTATTCAAAATAAATTTCCATTTGAAATCGATTGCGTAAAATATTTTTAATTAATCATACTTCAAATATTTTTTCTATAGTGGTTTTCTAGAGCACACTCAAAAATGTATTCAATTGAAAGTAAAAGTTCTTTAATATTTTTCACATACTTACAATTGAATAGCGCAAGAGGCAGTATTCATGCTCATAAGAAATTTGACGACGTGTCGGACGTGGTAGTATCCTACACGTCATCATCAAAATTCTTAGGTATAGCAGCAACACGGACTGGGTTGAAAAAATTCAACGAGCACGGAACATTATGGATGCCGGTTCACGTTCCGCTCAAGTCGTAAAATTCTTTCTCGATCTATATAAATCTTTAATTTAATTATACCCTACACTGTTGAAAAACACGTTTTTATTCATACGAATTAGCCCATATGAACTTTTACATGAATATCTCGCGTTAGCCATAGATACAAATATATATTTTTAATATTCTTGGCAGATATATACAATCTGTGGAAAACCATCTTGTCAGTCTTGCTGCGCTTGGCGAAGGCTGGCACAACTACCACCATGTCTTTCCTTGGGACTATAGGACTTCTGAGCTGGGCAAAATTAACATTTCCACTGGCTTCATCGATTTCTTCGCAAGAATTGGCTGGGCATATGATTGTAAGAATTTGACATATTCAATTTTTAGTATAGTTGTGTTTTATTAGTTAGTCAAACGTATTATAGTTATGGATAGCAAAAAGTAATCTAAAAAAAAGTAAATTAAAGCTTGCCTTAATAATTAAAACAACTGCCCCAGAACTGGTTAATTTTTTTTATTTCTCATAATAACTAACAAACTTCAAAATATTGAAATAAGTAATGAGCTTAGTTAGCAGGGTCAGTGTTTTACTTTAATTGTTGTTTTTATGTCATTTCTAGAATAAAATGCGGAAAATATCTCAGTATTATATTTTTTTTTCACGTAAATATCAAACAATTTTATATAAATCATATATGCATTCCATTTTCAGTAAAAGCTGCTACAATGTCTATGATAAAACGAAGGGCAGAAAGAAGCGGTGATGGAACCTTCCATCCAGAAGAAGAACCCTACCCAAATAACACAGATGATCATTCACATTCCTACTAGGATTAAAATCAATTATTATGTTTGAACCGCCTGATTTATTTAGTTTAATTTAGCGATTAAAAAAAAATACACGAACTCATAATTAATTGTGTATGTGTAGCTAGCGATTCTCTACTCTACATATACTAAAACGCCACCGAGACGATTTCTAGCAAATTTTATTAGTAAATGTTTTCCATAAGTTAGAAGTTTAAATAACCTTTCGCGAAGATTATGAAAGAAATGTTCATCTTCATTTATTTTACCAAAAACGGAATATTAATTGTTTTGTACGGAATGTTTTGAAAGAAAATATAATGTATTAAATACATTTATTTAGAGTTTGTTAGTAATTGACTTGTTGTTATTGTTTGTGAATGTTTTAATTTATCGATGTTATAGTTACTAGTTATTTTGTTAAAATAAATAAAGAGTTCTTATACGGTGTATACTTTTGATATTAAATGTATGACACAACACACGTTACACCCCTTAAAAATATTTAAGCAAAGTGCTAGTGGGAATCGGACACACAGGGTTCTGTACTACTATTGTGCGTAAAAAATGTTATGTTTTTGATTGTTATTATATTAATGACATATTCAACTAAGTACCTAAATTTTGCCAATTGTTTTTTCTTTGGTGTCATTTAAATAGGTAGTGGTTTGTACTTGTTTCTGAAGAAAGCGTTACCAGTACAATAATACTGGTATTGGCTTCAAGTTTTCGACTTAGACACCGTAAAGCACCAATCAGTCTTATGTAACAAAATGTTCTTTATTAGGGAAAAAGTTTGTACTTACCAGTAATAGGAACTGAATGTTCCAACACTTAAGTTAAAATAAAATAAAAAAAACAAAGTTCTGTATATTGCATTTATATTAAAACAATAATCATATACAGACATGGTGCAGATAGTGTCCCTAGTGTACGAAACACTAGGGCAAGGCTGTGTCGTGGGTGACTTGTCTCTTCCATGTTTTGTATAAGGTCTTGAAGCTAACTTAAGTATATGAAAAAAATAATTTAGTAAGGTTTCTGGGGCAATCTTTCAAAGCTACTTTTTTAAAATTCTTCAATCTGAAATCTGAAATCAACGGATGTATTCATCTGACTGTATTTTATTCCAATATTAGAGGCAGACAGCCTAAGTATATGTTTTATTGTTCACTTTTATTAATAATTTTATTAATAGACAAGTGCGTGTTGTCTTATTTAATGTGTCTCATATTGATATAGTGGATTTGTTATTGTTAGCTTTACTAAGTAAAAGAAATAAATAAATATGTCGCCGGACGGCAAAAAATATGATTATCATAAAAATTTCACCAACACAACATAATCCTTAGCAAGCAATCTTTGAGCCACAAAAACGGACAAGTGTCAATTTTGCTGACTGATTATACAAAAGAACATCGAAGATTCATTAATTTTCCTAACAAGATATTTATTTGATAACTAAGCTTTCCTAAGAATGTTGATGTTTCAAATTTAATAAATTAAGATTGTAGGAATCCTTTAAAACAAATATTTATAGAAATCAAAGTCAGACTTACAAAAAAGCTGTAGGTAATAACGGCGTGTATTTTTTTTGAAGCAGAAATAACACAAGGATATTAAACAATACATTTAAGTACTAATGACGATAATCTAGAGCCACTAGTCCAGTTCCAGTCGTTCGTGGGTTTGAATCTTTGTAGATTTTCCAATGGTATTTCCGAGGAAAAATATCTGTTACCTTTGTCTGTTTAAGATAAATTAATAAAATATATGTTTTCATTGATCTTCAAGACAAAAAGCTTTTAATAACCTAAGGTTTTATGATTATTCTTTATTACTTATGTAACTTTTTTTGCAAAATAAATGAACAAAAAATATAATACGTAATAATTACTTAGCTATGACACCAATACTTAGACTTTTATAAAAAGTCCCAGTATCAAAGAAATAAAGTGTACCTATACCACAACTTTTTTAAGCTTTGACAGGATCTTTGCTCTTATCACAATGGGTTGTAGGTTCCAAATTTTCTAAAACATTTAAATAAAACGCCTTAACGGTTTAAAACGTGGTATATTTTAGTCAAACTTGTTCCGAAATCCGACGTTTTGGATGCTTTGCAGCAGCCGTTATACAGGGAGACTAAAGATGGAGGATGTCTCTGACGTCAAATTAGGAAAACGAAACGTCGGGCCGTATTTAAATATAATTTTCAAACAAGTTTGACTAAAATATATCGTTTTAAACCGTTAAAGTGTTTTAATTAAATGTGTACTACTCGCGTAAACTACAGACAGTATTTTTCTAAAACATTTTGGTCTTCGTCTGGAAATCTGGATATTAAATGCTAAGCCAAAATTGCTGGACTCATCTTGTTTAGATGATATATGGCGGGGACTTTTCACCTACCATAAATTGAACTCTATGCTTGTCTGTCCTCCACTATCATACGGGAAATTTAATGGTCTCAAATGTATACAAACCTAACCCAATACCAAAACAACAATATTATTCGCAAATTACTATAGTTTTGAAGAAATGTTTGGCAGAGATCGATAATAACTATTGTGCTTCGATATATTGGTTAGGGCACGTGTACTAAATTCTTAAAAAAAGGCTATAATATCTTTGACATGAAGATGTCCTAGTCTAGAAAGAATATTTTAAATACTGTCTATAGTTTACGCGAGTAGTACACATTTAAATAAAACATTTTAACGGTTTAAAACGCGACATATTAGTTAATAATCATTTTCAAATAAGTTTAACTAATATATCGCGTTTTAAACCGTTAAAGTGTTTTATTTAAAAGAATATTTTAGTAAAAATTAAATATGTACAATTATTTATATCCATGAGTAACTCTCCTCTTTAATACATAAGCTCATTTCGTTTTATTTTTTTACCTCCAGTCCGACATTTCCGATGCTTTCCAGCAGCAGCAGCATGGGGATCCACGTCACGTCTATATCATGTTTTAAACCGTTAAAAGTGTTTTAAATAAATGTATACAACTCATGTCAAGTAATAATAATAATAATAAGTACGTATATAATGAGCTTTCTTAGATTCTTAAAACAAAAACGGTTATGTAAGAAATCGATATTATTATTGACACCGTGAAAAATTAACTTCTTAACGAACATTTTCCTTCTTAACGATAACATAAAAAGAAAATTGAAATTTTTGCGGTATGCGGTTTATCTTAAGCATTGTTAACTATTACTGTATACTGCATGATAAACCATTATACGACCTTAGTGATTTTCTGTCGAAAACACCCACTGAATACTGGTAGAAGAGTCTACATTAACCTTTTGGTAATTCATCTAATTCCCCATCCTCTGTAGAGGGTATTAGAATGTATGCTGGACATCATCTCTTAGAAATAAATAAACAACCTGGACATCTTATAGATTCTTCATGTATAGGTATTCTTTCCTGGTCTTCTTCTCTCTGCCCCTTCGACATTTCCCACATGATCATTATCTTACTATCCGTTCCATCTTAAGACCTGCGTAACTTGTATATTAACAATAATTCACTAATAAATAATTAGAATCGCGCTTATTGGTGGGATAAATACAGTTTCCGTATCTTGTTATCGAAGTATAGGTAATCGAATTTTAAATTAACCAATCGTTGACGAGTTAAAAGGCTGCAATGCTTCGATGGGAAGGCTGTGATGTTTATGTTATTTTAATTCGTTTTGCCGCGTATCTCGCGAAAACGGGCCGTGCACAGCGCAACAAACACCGGAGCAGCAGTTAACTAATGGATTCGCGTTGAGCTGCACGGCTGCAGAAATATCGTTACCGGCTTCGCTACGTAACTTTCCGAAATAACGCCGTACAAATGAACAAAATTTCGCACGAGTGTTTAAGTACGTGCATATATTAGTAAGGATTGCCTGGATTTTTTATTTAATCAAGCATTTCTTTCACGGTAAGTTAAACACTTTGAAGGCGAGTTAATCATAAAAATATTTATTGGATGGCTTATATTTTACATACTAGGACGAGATTTTTTAAATATGCGACTATATTATATTGAATTTATTATTTATCTTCGCCCTTGGTATTGTTTGAATATTCAATAAAGTTTTTTACATTTAATTACAGCGGCTTCTATCAGAATTATGTTAAGTATACATACCTAGTTGTTTTGGAAAAAAACGGAGAGTGTGACACACTTTTGTGTGTCATTTACTGATCGGATTTATTCACTATTTAAATATGCATGCTCGAAGCAACTTTTTTATGTTTTCCGGGATTGTGTATCGCGGTAGTCGATACTTACATTCTTAAAAAAAACCTTTAAAATGAAACCTTAAAGTACACGAACTGATTATAATATTAATTTTGGCTATCGCATTACGTTTGATATTATTTATCAAAATTACTATATAATACGTTATTCTACCTTATTTAATATCATGTCTCTTCAACATTTCGTCCAATACAAAGTGTAGTACATAACATAATTGTAATTAAAATTAACGCCCGAACATTCGCGTGAGGTTTCCGGAAAACACGGAAAATTTTATGTTAATACTTTAAACTATAATTATCAACATTATAAAGCTATGAATAAAAAAAGCTAAATTTTCACTTTGAAATCCGTGAAGTAATTGATAACTTTAAATGTACTATGCATTTAAAATAAACTTTAAGTACAGGTGTTGTTGTCATGACGTGTACTCAAAAATATATATTTCTTCCATCACGTGTGACATAGCCTCAAATCTTTCCGAAATATCAATACCCAAATAGACGCAGATACCCAGTCATTCAAGCCAGTGTAAATACAGAGATTCAAATAAAACCATCGAAGTCACGAACGGCTTCGTTCCATAGGCTCGATACTACTACTTACTACTTTTAATAATTCATGTAAACAATTCGACAAGCTCGATAGTCTAATGGTGGTAATGTATGGCTAATCAACGGGTCGTGGGTTCGATGTTACTAATCAATTTATAACTTTTCGGAAACGCGTTCGACGTGTTCTCGAAATCGGGA